GCCTGCCTCGCAAGTGCAAGGGCCTGAGTTCAATCCCCGGTACTGTTAAAAAAAAAAAAAAATCTAAAAAAAAGGGGGAGGAAAAATATAAGCATAACCAAAAAAACAAATTGATACAGTATGACTTAGATTTAGGGGTAACCTAAGTTTTCAATACAGACATTATTTTTGGGCCAGCTAGCAGGCATCCCTCTCATTCCAACTGTGCACCTCCATGCTTCCTACACCTGTCCTCCATCCATCCTGCCCTAGAGCTTTGCAACAAGTCTGGCTGGCATGTGAGCCTTGCCAAGGGGGACCTGAGTCACCAGGTACCTGGCCGCCTACAACCCGCATCCCGCCGTACCAGAGACCAAACTTGGGCCCTTGAGCTTGCGAGGGAGGCAGCAGAACCACTGAGCTAAATCCCCTGTCCTCCAGGTACTCTTGATCAGGACTCACACATGATGTATGGTCCCTGCCCTTAAACTCTTGGTCAGGTCAGTCCTGCCTGCAGTCTTTCTCTCGGTCGTTAACTCTTGTATTTTATCCATGCTTCCTTTAACAGCATTGAGTCCCTTGGCTATGTGTGCCCTGCTAGGCCTTCAACCAACCTAACTCCACTCACCAATGCACTTGACTTGCACAGAGTCTGCTCCGGCACTGTCCCAAAGTCCTGGACTACATACACATAATGGTCTGTCCTCAGGCTCTTCCACAGCACTAGGCAGAAACCCTTGTCACAGTGCTTGCTCACCGAGCACTCACTGAGGTTCATCAGCCAATCTCCCCTACTAGGCTGGCTGTCATGCTCCCTAAAGATAATACACTTCACAGACTCAAACTTTTGCTTTTACTAAAAATGTACTTTATTGCACTTATTAACAAACTGATAAAAGTTAACAGTATATATTTAAAAATACACATATTTTGTCATTTACCTATATTTTTTTAAAACTTTATACTTTAAGAAATATCAAAACTTCAGAACATCCAACTAGACAGACTAAAAACAGTTAATGCCAAACCAAAAAAAAAAATATATATATAACTAATGCACAAAAACAAAACAAACAAAAAAAAGAATGCCGAACAACTGTAAGTGCTCACGCACTGCTAAGATGAGTGTAAAATAGTGGTATTTACTAAGGCTACACAGATACACCCTGTGACCCAGCAAGCTGCCCCGAGTATATTCCCAACAGGAGGACTAAGGGGGTTCTTACAGCATTATTCCTAACAGCCCCTAACTAAGACAATTTAAATGTTCATTAATCTTACAATGGATCCTACATTCACGCAAATACTCAGAGCAATGAAAATGAACTGCTACATACAGCAACAAAGATACTTTCAGGAAGCTTGAAAAATAGGCTGAAATGAACCTTTGGTAACAGGTTGGGGATGGTGAGCATGGTGGGAACTGGCCAGAAAAAGTCAAGCACAGGGCGGTCTCCCTGAGCAAGAGAAAGCTTTTAATTTTTAAGTCACACAGGTAAACACTATGCAAAAGTTTACTCGAACCTATACTTAGACTGGTGCACCTTACCTTGTACAACTTATATTCCAACAAAGAAAAAGGAAAACTGGACTCTGGCTCTGGCGAATAGTACAGCTATAGGCACCAAGTAAATGGATACAAATCTTTGTCCCTTTGCTGGAACACAGAAATTAATGTTTGCATTTGCAAAAAGTAAGTTTTTAAATGCATAATTGGTATTCCTTTTATTAAAATGGTTTCAATTTTGGCTGAAGGGTTGGCACATATTTGACTCCCATGAGCGAGGCAACTCTGTTATACTAAATATACCAGTTACTTGCCAGCACTCAGCTTTAACTACTCATTTTGCTAAATACAGTACTAAGTAGAAAACCGGATACGAAATCTGGCCTATAGAACTATAATGACTATTTGTCTTTAGTAACATCCCAAAAGAAATTTATTTTACTATATTATCTATTTTAACCTAAAAATCTGCTGCTACCTCTGGTAAAAGTGGAACAGAGAAAATTCTCTGAAATACAGAAAAATTATTTCCTAAGCTTTTGGAGGGAGAAAAAAAAAAATCAGAAAAACAAAAACCTTAAATACTCTAAAAGAACTACTCCAATTTGCACTTCAAATTGTTGTTGGTTAAGTTTGACACTGTGAAGATGAGTATCAGTCCAGGGTAGGTGCCTTAATACTATTACTTTTTAAAATATTCAACTTAACCAGGTACCTACAAGACTCCTGATAGAAATTATACAAATAAAAAGATTAACAGATGTAAAGATCTTCAAGAGCAAATAAAATAAAACTACCTAAAATTACCCATGCAGAATAAACCCTGGCCTACAATGCAAGTAAGGTAAGAGTGAAGGTAGCACCCAGACAAGTAAAAAGAAAAAAAAATTTTTTTTTAAATGAGGCTTATGTTGCTCAGGCTGATCTCAAACTCCCATCTCAGCCTCTTGAGTAGCTGGGACCACACAGGTGCTACCATGCCCAGCTGGAGATGTAAAATACTGTTACAATCTCCCATATGTATAAATAAAATAGAATGTTTGTACTGGTGTGCTGGCTGGCCACTTGTGAGAAAATACAGGCAGCAGGTGAGATTCGTTTTTCAGACTTTTCAGCTTCTGTCACGGAGGGCACTACCTTCCAGGCACTGGTCTAGGTGCTCGTTAATCTGTGACTCCACAACATAAGTCTGACACACTGGACAGCTGACCAGCTGGCTCTGACTGCATAAGCTGCTGGAACTCTGAGTTGTAGCTGTAAAGTGTGAACTACTTTCTGGCTCACTGCTATCACTCTGTAGCTGTTCTTTCTTCATAAAGAAGGTGTCAAAAATGGTGCTGTCTTCCAGCCTGGGTCGTTTGCCTGGGAACTTGTCTTTGGACCCATGTCCATACGGGGATGAAGTTACAGATGCTGAGGCCATCACTTTGGAGGGATTTCTCAGGGATGTCTTAGAAGACGGAACCTTCCTTTGAGAACTAGAATAGACTGAGTGTTTAGTGATGTCACCAACGGTCCCATTTTTCAGGAGGCTTCCAGTCACACTTCTGAAAGCCTTTTGGTTGGCCACTGAGACTCTGGGAAAGTAGGTGCTTAGGACACTTTGGTGCACAGGAGGGATTATATGAAATTTTTTACTTGAGCTATTCTGTTTGAATTTCACCTCGGTGGTAGAATCATGTCTTACAACTGCTGAATTGTCCTGACTAAAAAGATCTTGGGATTCATTGATAGCACGTGCGGCAATCGATTTCCCAGATGAAGGTGGATTCCTCACCTCTTCCAGAACATACCCTTTTCCACTGAAAGGGATTAGTGGTTGAGCCTCACTTCTACTGGGCTTATCTGCAAAAGAAGCAAATAAAGCTTTTCCTAGATTCAACACTGATGCAGTAACAAACACTAAGTAATGCACAGTCTTCTCAATGAAGAAAATATTTCGTTCTAACTTAGACCCATTAGTAATTACCTATCAATGGGAGAAGGTCATCTTGGGAAGTCAGATCTGATACTGAAAGAATAAAAGCAGAGTTCTCTCATACGAATAAAAAGACTTATCATGCTAAAGAATACCCAAGGAACAAGGACCCTCCAAAAAGGTTTCTTTCCTCTATAATTAACTCCAGAAGAGAAAAACCTACCTCATTGTGTTTCTTCCTATTCACAGAACAAGATCCAGCCCCCCACACAGAAGTTTCTACATCTCTCTGACTGTACTGAGCATTTTAGACTTTGGAAACACAGCTTGTGCTCATGGGTCCTACCACACCAACTGACACTTCCTAAGGGAAGGAACATCAACTACATCAACCTGTTACCTCCTCAAAAGATGGTGACTATAGGAGAGGGGAAGAGCCTCAAGACGAAATACTAACAAATATATGTCACATCCTTTCCCATTCTCCTCCCAGTGAGCACATGGAGAGAAACCAACTGATAGGAAGAGGTATAGTTGGGATTTACATTGCTGTTTTTATGTTAATAACCTCTTTGCTTTCTGTTTCCTAATTACTTAGCAAAGTCAAGACAGGGAAAGGAACTCTACCTCAAATATTCTCATGGAAACTTTCTACTTTTACTTCTACAGAAAGCAAAATATATTTTCCTAGCATCATTTCATGGACAATGGAATTTTCCCTTAAAGCTACACTTGAATATTTCTATACCACAAACAGCACTCAGGCTTACTTTGATACCAGTTCTCTAGAGAGCAATATTGTTTACATTGGCTATGGTCATGGAAAAAAACTTTAGAAGAGAACATGTAAAAGTACCTTTATTCTCCACTGTTGATATAGGCTGCTTTTGTAGTTTTGCCTTTCCTTTTCCTTTTTTTGAGTAATTTTCTGGTTCCTTGATTTTTATATAAGTGCCTCCACAGGTTTTCTGGTGTTCAGCCCACCAGTAGTCATGTGCAGAGGGTGCCCTGTTGGTGGCACGTTTGACATAGCCGTAATATGGCTGTGTGTACTGACAAGGCCCATTGCAGCGCCACCAGTGTCGGCGATACTCCTCCACCTCATCATGAAATGTGTGGTAGACCTGGGTAGAGAGGGAAGTTTCAGCATTCAGTAAGCAAGTTAGCAATTGTAAGGAAATACTTCACATAAGCAGTCTTTTTTGTAACTTTCCATTTCCCAGAGATTTCTGAAAAGCTCCATTTTGGGGAAAGAAAGCTAATATATTTAGAAGTTCATTTTAATAGGAGATAGAAGCAGTTAATACTTCCTAAACTGTGTAAAGATAGAATGTGAGATAAATTTTTTTTGAGAAAGCCACAAAAACAATTCTATAAATGCTAAATGCTTCAGAAATAGAATATTAAAATGATCAAAAATTAGGATGAAGACAAGATTTAAAACAACACTATAAGAATCATTCTCTGGTTGGAGATGTAGCTCAGTGATGGAGTGGTTGTCTCCTGTATTTGAAGCTGTAGGTTTGATCCTGGTACTGAAAAATAAATAAATTAAAAAGAGAAAATGAAAAGAATCATTTCTACTGCTAAAAAGTTCCCTATCAGTAACAATACTAATAGCTCTGAAGAACCAACCTCCTCTTGTCAGTGCCTCACCTAACACAGCATCTTTGCCAGTGAAGCCTCTACTGTGCTCACTCCCAATGTAAAAACTCTGCTTGTGTCTCGACAGTTAGCTTTAGGTGGTAATACTATAGCTGTCCATGGCTGTTTCTCATAACAGAATTTGAATGTTTTCCTGCTGGGTCACCAGTGGTCAGTGGTTGGCATGGGGAACATATCTGCTGACTGAGCCATAAGAAAACACCACGCACCAAGTCACATTTTTCTATAAATAAGCTTTCCAGTTCTTATGTGAAAATGATTTATTTTGCCTTCTAGCTTTAGATAATGTCTAAAACCTAAGCAAAAACCAATAAAAAAAAATTCTGGCACAGTCAGCACCCCCAAGCAAGCACCTCAGCAGTGAAGCCTGCACAAGACTCTGAAAATTACTCCTGTTGGCCTGCAGCACAATGGAGAGCTCATACTTAGTATAGAAGGAGGACAAGGGTCAACCCCCAGTACTCAAACAATTGATTATGAAAATCACTACTCCTACATGACTATGTGGGACTTTATCTTCTCAGTGGTATATTACTATTGGTATAAAAATTAGGAGCACCTATACATACGTAAAATTTTTCTAACCAAAAAGTTAATTTTCTAATAAATTATCCTTTAAGAAAGAATGTTAAGCTTTCTTGTGTAACATGTTTTATGCTCTATCATAAACAAAAATTTCCATTACTTGGCATGCATGCAAATAGTACACTCTATATTAGGGGTATAAAGGAGTGAAGGACATTAAATTTTAGGCCAGAGGCATGTAAATGCTGCCCTCTATTGTATTCAAACTCTTCACTTAGTAATTAATTAGCAAAAAAGGGCAGGGAATTGAATTTGATTTGTTTCCAACTCCTATGATTCCTACAATATGGGCATAGAGCTTTTAATGGGGTGTCACTACAATGAAATGTTCTAGTAGCTCTATAATAACAGGACATAAGGTACACTAACAAAGGCTGCTCACTCCACAAAACCTCCCCTAAATAAAAACACCACAGACCCTCAAATCAAAACACTACGTCCTCTTCCAAATGAGCAATGGGAACTGTACCAGGGCTTTGCTTCAGTAAAATTTCAGGTGAAGAAACCAGGTCTTTTGAACTAAGAACTCCATAATTCTCCCAACTGGATTCTATATCTGGCAGATATACCGAAATGGAAGCCATTTTTCTGATGTGAAGTAACTATGTATCCAATAACTGCATGAGGTTTCAGAAAATTAAAACTGACCGATAAAGAAAAAACACATTTAGGGTAAGCACTTTTCATTTCCCACCACACTGGCATTTATTTTCTTTTTAAGAAATATCCAAACATATTCCAGAATTTAGTCTGTGTTGGAATCTTATTCAATTCAGCATTTGCTAAGCTGGCAAAAGGGCATGAGGTCACCATCTTATACAGACTTACATTAAGATGAGGAGGAACCACCCAGTATGCTGAGCTAAGAAAGGGGAATGAAGACTATAAAACGTGAACCTCTTGCTGAGACGACTTAGAGAAAGACAGTTTGGTCCCACTGGAAAGAGACTAAGCCTTGTACTTATGAGGAAAGGAAGGGAGGTGCATAGGTCAGTTAATAAAAAGCAGGACACAAGCAAGGGGTTGGGAGAGGCAAGAAAAAAGAACAGTCAGGTTATTTAATAAAATGAATATAGTGATTGACAGACACTAATATTCAATTAGTACTCAAGCTGTACAAAAATATTTATGTGGTTCTTCTTTAATCCTATCTCCTCACAAGGATCCTGCAGGTAGATACTGTTATTACCCCTAGTTGCAGGTGAGTAAGATAAGGCAGAGAAGCACTGGGTAGATTCAGGAAAATCATTAGTGGAACAAGGTAGGATATGAACCCCAGCAACTTGATACCTCAGTCTTCTTCACCCCAGGCTTTGCTACCTGCAATGACTATGCAGAGGTAGGAATCAGAAAGACTTCCGATGGACGGAATGCCAGAGGAAATGGTAGCAGAACATAGGATGAATTCAAGGAGACTACAATAAGAAAACCAAGTGAAGAAGCTGTCACAAAAGCTGAGTACTGCAGGCCTGAATTAACTAACCCTGAAAGGAGAGGAGGCCAGAGGCCTCAGAGGTATCGCTGACTCTACTGTTCTAATGTGTACGCCTGGAAAGCCAATTAGCTTCCTTAGGCTTCTTGTTCACTGCCGAAATTTCTCAAAGGTATTTGTTTTTATCTACTCCAACACACACCCACAAGTACCAGGATCAAACCCAGAGGGCTCTATCACTGAGCTATATCCCTGAGCATTTTTATTATACATATTTTTCCCCCTTTGTTTTGCAGTACTGGGGATTGAACCCCAGGGCCTTCAGAGTGAGCTATAATCCCAGCCCTTTGTTTATTCTGAGACAGGTCTTGCTAAATTGCCCATGCTGGCCTCAAATTTGCAATCTTCCTATGTTAGTCTCTGAAGTAGCTAGGATTACAGGTATAAGCCACTGTACCTGGCCAGCTCACTATTTTTAATTAAATCTCAGAAGTTACTGAATAAATAATCATTAAATACCATAAACATCTGAGACATTATATACCGTAATATTGGCTCCAGTCAGGCGGTTGATGCGATGCATATGTTTACAAAACTCTGGGCCATGTCCTTCTCGATCTTTATCATTATTAGTGATAAATAAATAGGCATGTATCATTTCATGCAAGAGGGTCTGAAACAGAAAACAATTTTGTTATAGCACTTCTGAAAATAATGCATTTTATTACTATACCTATGGTCTTAAACATCTATAAGCATATAGTCACAAAATTTTGAAAATATTCAAAAGCTCTGCAGATCCTGGATAAATAATTTTCTGTTCCTAGAAGCCCTTACTAAGTACAAAGCAAAATCCAGAAGAAAAGATCAGTAAATCCATCTAAATACACACTTAAACTTTGATAGAAAAAACACCATTAAGAAAAAGATAGACAATTATGTGTGCAACACATATCAAAGGTTATTAAACCTGAATGTATCATACAAAGAGCCCTGAATATGAACAGGAAAATGATAAACAGGTTCAGTTTTAAAGTTGGAAAAAGCTGGGTGTCATGGCATGCACCTGTACTTTCAACTATCTGGGAAGCTGTGGAAGATCATTTGAGCCCAGGAGTTCAAGGATAATTCAAGGAAACTATAGAAAAATCCTGTCCCTTGAAGAAAAGATAAGCCAGGCACAGCAGTGCACACCTGCAATCCCAGCACTCTAGGAGGCTGAGGCAGGAAAATCGCATGTTCAAGCTCAGCTTGGGGAACTTAGTGACTTACCAAGACCCTGTATCAAAGTAAAATATAAAAAAGGAGACTCAATGGGTTCAATCCCTTGTACTACAAAAAATAAATAGATAAAATTAGTTTAAAATGTCCTGGAGTTTACATAAAAAGAAGTATAAATGACTCATAAACATATTAAAATGTTCAATCTAATTTACAAAATAGAGAAAGTCAAGTTAAAGCACTAGGATACTATTTCTTGTTCATCAAGACTGGTAAAACTTGAGTATGACACTGTTAGCAAAGCTAAGGGAAAATAAATATTTGCATATATTGCTAGTGGAAGCACAAAATGGCACAACCCCTGTGAATTTCACAGCAGTTAACAAAATTACAAATACATTTGCCATTTTATGCCAGCAATCCCCAGATAAGCATGAAAGGCTTACATATAGATGTGTTCACTGTGGCACTGTTTATAAAGGTAAAAACTTAGAAACACCTCAAATATTTACCAACAGGACCCTGGCTGAATGTACATCCACAAAACAGAATTCTACACAGCCATAAAAAGAATGAAAAAGATCTCTAGGCGCTGGCCATGGTGGCGCACACCTGTAATCCCAGCACTCTAGAGGCTGAGGCAGGAGGATTGTTGCCAGCCTAGGCTACATAGTGAAATCTATCTCAATTACCACCGCCTCCCAAAATAAGATCTCTAGGAAATGATGTGGAGAAAGCTACAGAGTATACTGTTTTAATGAAAAAGACAAAGTACACTGCATTCAGTATAAGAAATGTGTTACAGGAAACAGGAATTAAAAGAGATATAAATATTTGCAACGGGGCTGGGGATTTAGCTCAGTAGTTCTGTTGCCTGCCTTGTAAGCACAAGGTCCTGAGTTCAATCCCTGGTACCAAAAAAAAAAAAAAAATTGCAACGCAGAAAAATGAAATCAACCAATAATTCCTATAATAGGTAGGAGAACAGAGAAAGGTATAGAACAAGATTTCCCTGTATATTTCCCTTCTATAGTTTTAAATCATGCAAAAGTTTAAGACAATAAAAATAATCACTCCACATCAAGAATACAAAAGTTTATGTAAGAAATGAACAAATGCTTTTAAGGTTGCCTGAGTTTTTTGTTCCAAAAAAGTATAAACATTGTCTTTTTTGAAAAATAAAAACTAGGCTAAAGGTGTGGCTCAGTGGCAGAGTGCCTGCCTAGCATTCCCTGGATTCTATCTCCAGCACAAAAAAGCGAGCAAGCAAACAAACAGACCATAAAGATCTTCAAAAGCAAATATTTTCTATAATTCTCAATATGTGCAGTTGTATATAGGTGCATGGAGTACTGGGGATTGCTAAGCCCTCTACCACTGAGCTATATCCCTGGCCCTTTAAGTGAAATAGGATCTCATTAAGTTGCCTGTGTGGTTTCAAATTGTGTAACCCTCCTATCTCAATCTCCCTACTAGTTGGCATTAGTCATGCATCATCAATAATTTTTTAAAAAAGATTCTGGGGCTGAGGATGTTGCTTAGTGAACAGACACTTGCCTGGCAGTAATGATGCTCTGGGTTCAATCCCTGACAGTGGCAAAATAAAAGAAAGAGGAATTTCCATCAGAAGAACAAGACTGACAGACTCACACTGCATAATGAAATTTTAGCCTGAGCTGGGCATGGCAGCACATGCCTGTAATCCCAGCACTTGGGAGGATGAGGCAGGAGGATCACTGTGAGTTTGAGACCAGCCTGGGCTACATAGTGAGTTCCAGGTCAGTCTCAACTACATAGTGAGACCCTGTCTCAAACCCCCCACACCAAAAAAAAGATTTTAGCCTTATAAAATTATGCTGAACATGAGAATCAATTATTTTCAATTGGTCATTAATACCCACTTTAAAATAATTATCTGCACCTTTTAAAAGGAACATTTTTTTTAGTAAATGTCACTCTATTCAGAAAACTCAAATTCAAGAGAGGCTATTCTAGGGCCAGGGATTTGGCTCAGTGGTCCGGTTGCCTGCCTCACAAGCACAAGGGCCTGAGTTTGATCCTTGGTCCCCGCCCCCAAGGCTATTCTACAATTTCAAACGCTTCTCAACAATCTATGATGATAAATACCCATTCTCACAAAAGAGAAACAATGTAAACATCTGGCAAATAGCACAAGGCAATATTTTTGTATCTATCTACCAGTATCCAAAATGAGGCTAGATTTGAGGCTTTAGACAGCATATCTCTGTTTCCCATTACTCTTGTAATGAATTCTAGTCCTAAACATGTCACAAGTTTTCTGACCTTGGTCTTGTTCAAGTTACTCTTACTCCTCTGGCCAAGAGTACTCTTCTGTCCTATCTCTAGTTGTCAGGAGGTCCATTAGGAGTCTAGGCCTCACCTCTCTAGGTTCAACTGGCAGGAATAAGCAATAGTGCAGTCTGAGAAAGCTGAGAAGCAGTTGAGTTAGGGAAACTAAAAAGCAAGGACTTTTTTGGGGGGGGGCGTTGAGACAGGGTCTCACTATGTAGTAATCCCAGCACTTGGGAGGCTGAAACAAGAATTATCACAAGTTCAAGATCAGGTCAGACTACATAATGAGACCCTTTCTAAAAAAAACCAAAAACTGTTCACGTGCTTAATCAGTACATAATCCTTAGGCAACTCCTCATCTATTATTATTTTTTTGCGGGGAGGTGGTTTGAGACAGGGGTTCACTATATAGTTGAGACTGACCTGGAACTCACTATGTAGCCCAGGCTGGTCTCGAACTCACAGCAATTCTCCTGCCTCAGCCTCCCAAGAGTGCTGAGATTACAGGCATGCGCCACCACACCTGGCTTAACTCCTCATCTATTAACGTTCCTGGTAAGGCTGATTTGGTTAATCATGTTTGTTTTATGCATACTACTTTTTTCTGTGTATTCATCAAATTACTAAAAGGGTTGTACTAATACCTGCAACCATAATTGTAGACTATTTGTTTCTGTTAGTTTACTTTCAGTCTATACTCAATAGTCTAATGTTATAAAAAATGTCCCTTTTTTTCTAGCAAAACTTTCTTTGAAGTTATTTGATCTGCTACTAATAAAGATGCAATAGCTATCTGTTTTGTTTGGATATGCATTTTCTATCCCTTCAAATCTAACATATATGTCTTTGTTATAAGTATACCTCTTTTAATCTAGTCAGGTTCCTCTAACAGAATAGTCACCCACATTTAATACAATTAGTGTTTATGCCTTTTTCTTTAGGTCACATCAACTTTGCTCTTTACTCCTTATTTTTCATTAATCAGATGTTTCTAACACACCATTTTACATCTAGTATCTTTTCACTTTTTAAATTTTAGTATAAAAGATGTAGCATATTATTATCATCATAACCAATTCTTTTTCTCATAGGATGGGGCATATCATTCCTGGGGGTACTGCAATAGCCAGTCAATGCATGGAGTAGACAAAGAAAGCTTTCTGCTTCAAAATTGCATTTAACATACTGCCCAGACAGTGTACATATCAAGAAGTCAACTGATCAGAACAGATATGACACCTGATTTTAAAAAACAAAGGTTGATCTTGTACACTTTTATGTGTACAGCTAAACAGTCATAGTTATGAAATACATTATTATGCTTTAAAGTCCATTCCTCATATCTCCCAGCATGTTTTAAGCTATTTCCACCCCGTAGAGACAATCTCTACCATCCCTGTGCTGTCCTATGCAAATTTTTCAAGTGATAGAACTGGGGCAGGAAAAGACACTGGCTGCACCTTGGAGACTTCCAGGTATCTACTAAACCCAATCTGAACTAGGACAGCTCTACAGTGAAATGTACCTCCAGACTACTGTGCTGCCAGCTCAGGTAGGTATCCTAGCTGGGCAGCAGTGTGGTGGTCAATCAGTGGATAACCCAAATTTGTTTGTGTCAATGGGAACACTCAGATCCTAAGTTTTTCTCTACTTCTAAATATGTAACTTAAACAAATTACTTAACCTATCTGAGCTTTCCTTATCTGTAAAAATGAAGATAATCAATATTGATAAACATAGCTGCTGTAAAGATCAATGAAATAATACACCTGACAGCCTTTCTTAGCTATGCAGCATTATAAACATAAAAGATATTATGTGCTCCACAACTCAAGTTTGTATTAAGGGAAAAGCAATAAAATAAAGATTTATTTGCAGCAGACTGTAAAGTACTGAGCTAAGAATGCACAAAGAATACCTCTACAAGATCTTTTCTTGGTCTGAACTTTAAAAGGGGTTCACTGACCCGGATGGAACACATTCCTCCACTGCCTTCATAGCAGCAAATCCCAGCGCACCTGAAAAACAATTACTATGTGTTACATTTACCAAATTCAGATGAAAGGAAAACAGAAGAGCAAATCCTTACTCTTCCTTTGGCAGTTCAGATCCTGCCAAAATGTGTCCCCTCCACCCTTCCCATACTGGGGCCTTTGCACTGAACTCTAGCTCCAGCCCCCCCCCCCCATACAGTGTTGCTAAGTCTCTAAATTGCTAAAGCTGGGCTCAAATTGTGATCCTCTTGTCTAAACCTCTCAGAGTGCTAGGATTACAGGAGTGCACTACCCCCAGCTAGCTCAGATAGCATCCATCTTGGGAACAGAACTTGCATTGCACCCCAGTCAGGAGGCTGTTGCCACTACTGTGGCTTCCCTTACACTAAGTTGCAAGGCTCAAAAAGGACAGTCACCTCAGGGACCCATTCTCCTCCCCTGCCAGGCAGCACCTGGTAGTAAACCATCATAGCTGTGCAAGCACACCTGTATGAAGAAGAGCTGTACTCTAAAACAATTGATAGCCCATCTTAACCTGCCTTACTGTAGGTTGTTCAGTATAATTTCAAACCAAAACTCATGTGACACCACAGAACCACACCTGAGCCTTATCATTCACATGGTGGGACACGTTCTTTCAAATCACGGTTTCTCAAACTATTCTTGAATGGCATCTTAACTGAGGGTCTTTGAGTCAAGCACTTTCTCAGGGTTAGGTCCTAGAGGTCCGGTTCACACGTCTTGGTGGACCTTGGGTCCTGGCACTTTCGGGGCAAGTCCTAAGAGTCAGGTCCACTCGTCCTAGGGAACCCTGGCACTCTCAAGGCAGGGTTCTAGGAGTAAGGTCCAGAGTTCTGAAATCCCTGGGTCCTGGTACTCTTGTGGCAGGGTCCTAGGAATTAGGTCCACATGTCCTGAGGAATCCTGGGTCTTCACACGCTCAGAACCAGGTCCTAAGAGTCAGGACCAGATGTCCTGGGGGACTCTGGGTCCAGGCATTTTGGGGGCAGAATCCTAGGGGATACGGCCACTCATTCTGAGGGACGCTGGGTCCAGCGCACTCCTCTTCGGGGTGTCCTCAGGCCAAGCCCTCAGTACCCTGGGGAAAAGAGGCTAAGCACCAACGGCAGGGGCTCTGGCGGTTCCGGGCGGCGCGCGGGCGCACTCACAGCGTCATGCGCGCGCTCCACTTCACCTCCACCGCCTCCAGTCGGCCCCAGAAAAAGTTGTCGTTGAACTGCACGAACAGACCCTGCAGGTCTGGGGTGGGGTCCACCAGTTCCCAGGACGCGTCCACCAGCGACAGGGTCTCCTGCGCTGCGCGCTTGGCGGCCCGCGCGTCCCACTCTTCCTGCAGTCGCAGCGCGACCATCAGATCCTCATCCTCATTCATCGCGCTGCCCAGTCCCCCTGAGACTCTCGACAACATCGGCTTCTCGAGACCTCAGGCCCAACTTCAAGCGTGCGCGGGCTCGTCCCGAACACCGGCGCTAGGGTCCTGGAGCTTCGCAGCGGACGGAAGTACGACACCGCCCGCAGGTATAGGCCGGGTAGGGTCTCGCAAAACCGGTTACGGCCTTTATCCCTCACCAAGACTCACGCCCTACGTCACGCTCTGAATATGCGCAGATCCCACTTCGCCACTACTTAAGCAGTGAAGCGCATGCGCCTTAGTCCGTTAGCGTTTCCGCGCTGGCGTCATAACCGCGCTCAAATCCAGCGCATAGTGTGCGACGCCCGCGCGACGATTGGCTCCGGCGCAGGCGCAGGCGCAGGCGCAGCGTCCGGCGCCCCTTCCTGGCGCGGGCGTCCTTGTCTAGCTCAAGCCCCCAGCTCCCTCAACCTCCGGGTTACTAGGAGTTCGGGTGGGGCCAGACAGCGGTCAGTGACAACGACTGCGGAGGTCGGCACTGCTAGGGTGATGGCCATGTCGGACAGTGGGGCGAGCCGCCTGCGGCGACAGCTGGAATCGGGGGGCTTCGAGGCGCGTCTGTACGTGAAGCAGCTATCGCAGCAGTCGGACGGGGACCGCGACCTGCAAGAACACCGGCAGCGCGTGCAGGCGCTGGCGGAGGAGACGGCGCAGAACCTAAAGCGCAACGTCTACCAGAACTACCGGCAGTTCATCGAGACGGCGCGGGAGATCTCCTACCTGGAGAGCGAAATGTACCAGCTTAGCCACCTGCTGACTGAGCAGAAGAGTAGCCTAGAGAGCATCCCACTGGCTGCGCGGGTACCCGGGACCGCCGACGTGGTCAGGCCGGCTTCCTTCCCGGACCAGTGGGAACCCCGCGCGACAGCCCCAGTGCTGGCGAGGAGGGCAAGCAGCGTACGCTGACCACGCTCCTAGAAAAGGTGGAGGGCTGCAGGCATCTGCTGGAGACGCCCGGGCAGTACCTGGTGTACAACGGGGACCTGGTGGAGTACGAGGCAGACCACATGGCGCAGCTGCAGCGTGTGCACGGCTTCCTCATGAATGACTGTCTGCTGGTGGCTACCTGGCTGCCCCAGCGACGGGGCATGTACCGCTACAACGCGCTGTACCAACTGGATGGCTTGGCTGTGGTCAATGTCAAGGACAACCCGCCCATGAAGGACATGTTCAAGTTACTCATGTTCCCTGAAAGCCGAATTTTTCAGGCAGAAAATGCCAAGATCAAACGGGAGTGGCTGGAAGTGCTGGAGGAAACCAAGAGGGCCCTTAGCGAGAAGAAGAGGAGGGAGCAGGAGGAGGCAGCGGCCCCGCGAGGGCCCCCACAAGTAACTGCCAAGGCCAGCAACCCATTTGAGGATGACGACGACGAAGAGCCAGCTACTCCTGAGGTAGAGGAAGAGAAGGTGGACCTCTCAGTGGAGTGGATCCAGGAGCTGCCGGAAGACCTGGATGTCTGTATTGCACAGAGGGACTTTGAGGGAGCTGTTGATCTTCTGGACAAACTGAACCACTACTTAGAAGGCAAGACCGGCTCACCTCCTGTGAAGGAACTCAGGGCCAAAGTGGATGAGCGTGTAAGGCAGCTTACTGAAGTTCTTGTGTTTGAACTCTCCCCAGATCGTTCTCTGAGAGGTGGCCCCAAGGCCACTCGCAGGGCAGTTTCTCAGCTAATCCGGCTAGGCCAGTGCACAAAAGCCTGCGAACTGTTTTTGAGAAACCGGGCAGCAGCTGTGCACACTGCAATACGGCAGCTCCGCATTGAAGGAGCCACTCTTCTCTACATTCACAAGCTCTGCCATGTCTTCTTCACCAGCTTGCTGGAGACTGCAAGGGAATTCGAGACAGATTTTGCAGGCACAGATAGTGGCTGCTACTCTGCTTTTGTGGTCTGGGCAAGGTCAGCCATGGGCATGTTTGTGGATGCTTTCAGCAAGCAAGTGTTTGACAGCAAGGAGAGCCTCTCTACAGCAGCAGAGTGTGTGAAGGTGGCCAAGGAGCACTGCCAGCAGCTGGGGGAAATTGGGCTGGACCTCACCTTCATCATCCATGCTCTGCTGGTGAAAGATATCCAGGGGGCCTTGCACAGCTACAAGGAGATCATCATTGAAGCCACCAAACACCGCAACTCGGAAGAGATGTGGAGGCGGATGAACCTGATGACTCCTGAGGCCCTGAGCAAGCTCAAGGAAGAAATGAGGAGTTGCAGGGTCAGTAACTTTGAGCAGTACACAGGCGATGACTGCTGGGTGAACTTGAGCTACACAGTGGTTGCCTTCACCAAGCAGACTATGGGCTTTCTAGAAGAGGCACTGAAGCTGTATTTCCCTGAGCTGCACATGGTGCTCCTAGAGAGCCTGGTGGAAATCATCCTGGTTGCTGTTCAGCATGTGGATTACAGTCTGCGGTGTGAGCAGGATCCAGAGAAGAAAGCTTTTATCAGGCAGAATGCATCCTTTCTGTATGAAACAGTCCTCCCTGTGGTGGAGAAGAGGTTTGAGGAAGGTGTGGGGAAACCTGCCAAGCAGCTCCAGGACCTGAGGAACACGTCCAGACTCATGCGTGTGAACCCCGAGAGTACAACTTCAGTGGTCTGATGTTTGGGTTCACTTGTGCATGCATACATATTGCTTATGTGTTATTTGTATTTATGTTATATTAGCATATCCATGATAGTTTTGCATGTCCATGATAGTTCAAACAGCTCAAAGATTTAAAAATGCCTTATAAGAAATGTAAAATCAAAAGAAAAAAGACATTAAGTCAAATAATGAAAATACTAGATTATTAAAACATACTATCTATGCTTTCCTTTTAAATTATGCTAATTTTTAATGAACATGTTGTTACACTGTAGTATTGAGGTTTATCTCTGAGTCAAAACATATTTTCTCATGCAGCACCAAGAAAATTCTAATAGATGGGCCGGGATTTAGCTCAGTGGTTCTGCTGCCTGCCTTGCAAGACCAAGAACCCAAGTTTGAACCCCGGTACCAAAAAAAAAAAAAATTCTAATAGTTTATGTTGTGAAGTTCCCCAGTACGAAAAGTTTAGTTTTCTTAAAAGGTACACTGCCATCTCAGACCTTAAACTGTAATTGAACAATTTGGGAAAAAGGAGTTGGGGAAATTTGTTTTAGGACAAATTTTACTAAATTATTTCTTGAAACTAGCTGTGTGTGGATGTCGTATACTCCCATCCCTTTTTTTTTTTTTTTTTTTGGGTACCGGGGATTGAACTCTAGTCCTTGCTCTTATGAGGCAGGCAGCGGAACCACTGAGCTAAATCCCCAGCCCTACTCCCATACTTATTGAAAAAGAGGAAGCTTTCAGGAAAACCAGGAGCTGGGGGCATGGTGGCCTGTGCTAGTAATCCCAGTTACTGGAAAGGCTAAGGCTAGGACTGCAAGTTCAGGGACAAGGCCAGCCCAGCAATTTAATGAGACCCTATCTCAAAAAAAAAAGGCTGGAGTTGTAGTTCAGCAGTGCTAGAGAAAACAAAACAAAAACAACAGAAATCACACCTCAAACATTTCCATAATTTGAATAGCTGATTATTTTCAGTTGCTAATTAGCAGCTTGATACTGTTTGATTTGGAAGCATCTACTTGGAAATTGGAAGTGGTAAAGGTCCCCCCCAACATATTTCTGAAATGTGTAAACTTCCAGCTGGAGCTTTTGTCTTTGTCATATTAAATACAAGTAATATGACACATTAAAGAACCTTGGCAGTAGCCATTGACTTTTCAGCCTCCATTCATTCCTTCAGGGTAGGTTATATAGTAGCTCAGCTACAGGCAAATGAAAAAAGTTTCCATTGAAATCTTTATGTAGATCTCAGGGTCTGGGTGGATGAAAAGTTAGAAAAAAAAAAGCAAATCCTACCGTTCTTAAAAATGACTACTTTGAGCAGAGATTTGTTTTGAGTTCTTTTTGTAAGAAAACAAGAGAACATAGATGAGATTGATATACCCAAGTCACAGGCAAGAAAAGCTTTGCAACTTCCAGAATGCTTTGTGCTGCATTTTCTTTTTGAAGACAAGGTTTTACTATGTAGTTCATAGTGGCCTTGAATTTACTATATAGCCCTGGTTGGTCTCGAACTCAACAGCAATCCTCTTGCTTTAACCTCCTGGGTGCTGGGATTATAGGCATGTGCCATCTCACCTGGCCCATTTTCTTGTTTTACTTTTAACTTTTATTGCTTTGTGTTTAAAAGGACTTCAGGTGACAATGCTTAATTCATATTGCTTAGTAAAACGTAAATAAGAAATGTGAGCTTCCCAGGGTTTCTATTTCTAAACTATGCTTCCATTGTGTATTAATATTCTTCTATTTGAAAGAAATGTTCTTGCTGAGTGAGAACTATTTTTTCCCTAGCATCTTGTGAATCTTCTCCTTAAGTGCCATTTGTGCTCATGGTTTCTAAAGGTCATTTATCTGAATAAAAATGATGGTATTAAGACTGAAAATTATGTGAAACCTAAAGTGCATTCGGAGTAGTGGCTTAGGTTTATAAGATTCTTTAATTACTTAGATGCCAGACTAACACTTTTCTTTTTAGCTGTCTTCCCCTCCCCACCCCATACTGGATTTGAACCGAGGGCCTTTGTACTAACTACATCTCCAGCCCTTTTTTAAAAAATTGACAGAAGGTCTTGCTAAATTGGCCAGGCTGGACTTTAGCTTGTAATCCACTTTAAGCTATACATATTTAAAAAGTCAGGAGGGCCAAGGGAAAGGGTTTGCCAATAATTTTACTACTATGAGAGGTTGAGGCAGGAGAATTGCCCAGCCTGGACAAATTGAGTGACTTCATGAGACCCTGCCTCAAAAAATAAAAGGGCCAAGGATGTAGCTCAGTGCGAAGGCCCTCGGTTCAGTTCCTGGTACCACAAAAAGAATATAAATAAAAGGTTGAAAGGTATTAGGATTTTCTTTGATTAGTTTTTTTCACGTATCTAGGATTTTCTATATAACATAACTGGTTATCTTAGCTGAACAAAGACAGTTACACTTTTTAAAAGATCATTGGAAACTTGACTTTTTATAAAATTTTGTGATTATTATTTTCTGCCGTTTACCTTTTCTACTGTATTGTAGAAAATATGAACTATGTAAATATGTGGCGCGGAGTCTGTGATAGTTCTGAAAGTTCCTCTTAAGGCATGGAGTTGTAAAAACTTAAATGTGTATTCTCAGATATATAAATGGTTGCTTCTGCATAAAACTGCCTGCTTTTTAAAACTGAAAGTACAGAATTTTCTTTTAAGAATTTTTGTGTTCCTTAATGATAATTGTAGCTGAAGGAGATATACTTTCAGTGACTCAATCAGTATGGGAAGTTGATTAAATCTGCCAGTTTTGTAATGTTTCTGTGCTGGACATAAAAAGTTAATGCTGCCTTCCCCAACTCAGGGGTCAGAGCTCTTCTCTCTAGTCCTTGTCTCAGACTCCAGAATAAGTTCTAAAATCAAATCCAGAAATACAGTACATGCTGAATACCACGTAGCATTATCTTTTCTTGTTTGCTTCAAGCATACCTGTCACTTGAGCTTGGGATCACTGGCTTGATTGGGTTAATTACTGCTTGGAAAAAAGACACTGTGGAATTAAGTCTTTTTTGATTAAAGCCTCATTTCACTTATGTGCTAAAAAGATTTTTTGTTTAAAATACTACTTAGGGTTTAATTTTCAATACTTGTATCTTGGAACTTGATCTCTCTTACCTAGGATTAGAGATTTGGGACTTAACATGGAGTGTAAAATCAATATGTGTAGAATTTCATTTTTGATATGCTGTTTAAGTAACTCTGAGATGTAAAATAAAGCTTTAAAATGTTCTTAAACTGGATAAAATTGATATTACACTATTATTTTGATGTTCGTTAATCAGGATTTAACATTCTTGTATTCCTGTTATTAAAATATTTTGTGGTATTTTTTTTTTTCCTGTGTGGGGAAGATGGAAAGCTGTTAGCTAATTTAAATAAGTATTCTGCTTACCATCAGAATTATGAATAAATCAGGTCTCAGGTTTTTTTAGGTTTCTCTTGAATGGGAAATTCCAGATATATACAATGTGAATTTAGCCTAAAAAAAAATTTTATGCCCTCTTCACATCCTTAGATAAAAAACAAACAAAACAAAACAAAACAAATGCAGGCCTCACTACCAAAGCTAAATGACAAGATTCTGCTTTTTTAAAAAGTAATTTTTTTGGTACCAGGGATTGAACGTAGGACCTTGCATTTGCCAGGCAGGCAACAGGCGTGGTGTCACTGAGCTACACCCCTCACCCAGTTATGCTTTTTTTAAAGTAGTGTGTCTATATGGAGGAAGCAATAACATATTTACAAGTATTGGGTGCTGTGCTTCACAGTGATTTAAGTGTGAGGGCAGGGAGGACAAAATAAAGTCAAGCATGTTTTAAGATGCTTGAAAATTGGAGAAAATCAACAAAAATTATAGAATAATTACTCAGCTATGTACAGCAAGAATACTGAGGAAGGGAGTAATGTAATTTGAGGAATTTGGGAAGTTCTCACAAAAACACTAGTCCTGGAGTACTGGTACTTGGGCTGGCCCCTGAAGAATGGAAAAAACAGACCTACAAAGAGGGAGAGCATGCCACGAGCAAAGACCTATGGCGATGCAGGTGTCACACAAGGAAACCTGTTAGAAGGGACAGCGGAGCATGGAACAGGAGTAGAGTACATGCCACCTGAGAGCCTCAGTCTGTCCAGATGTGAAGAACCAAAGTCCCCACTCACACTGAGCCTGCCCACAATTGCACCCCCTTGGTAAGAGTTTCATGTGCATTTCCCCCAGAAATTGGTTCATGCTACACATGCAGTTCAAGATCTTGCTTTTATTCAAGTAGCAATTCGGAATTTTTAAGACTACATCTCACATCAATACTATACCTCATGTTTTCTGTAATAGAATGGTCTTCAATCACGGTGAATGGATAAATTATACTTTTGTATTTTACAATTATTTTAAGGTTTTTGTGATTACAAAAAATTCCAGAACCACCTCCACGCATACAGGTAAGTGTATGTGTGTATATACGTGTGTGCATGTGAATATATCTGAAAGATACATGGCTAGACATCGTTCTGCTAAATTGTGCTTTTAAAATTTGGATCAGACCATCAGAAGAGTTGTACCATTTTATATTCTGCCCAACAGTTTAAGGAAATACTCCTGTGACTGTTTTTATAAATGCTCATAAAAATACTTAATAAAGGTCCTATTTTTACTAGTCCTTTTCTGTGAAGTCTCATTTGTATTTTTTGAGTGTGGTTGAGCATTTGTATTTCCTTTTCCATTCAATAAACTGTTTATGTCTTTTGCCATTCTTGTATTATCTTTGTATTCTGATTTTGGAAGTTATTGTATAGTTAGGAAATTAATGTAGGCTATGGTTGTAGATTTTTCTTAGTTTGTCATTTGTTTATATTTTAGTATATGTGCTCCCAAAGTGAGCATTTTTATTTTGTCTATGTTTGTTCATTTATTTTCACAGTGTAAGTTTTAATCAGTTACGAAGCCAGATTTGTCTTTTTTTTTTTTGGTAATGGGGATAGAACTCAGGACTTCGAGTTGCCAGGTAGGTGCTACATCCCTGGCCTGGGTTTTTTTTTCCTTATGACTTCTGCGTTGTGTCAGGCTTACGAAGACCTTGTTCAGTAAGCCTTAAAATGTTTTTATTGCTGGGAATTGTGTACACCTGTAATCCCAGCACTTGGGAGGCTGAGGTAGGAGTGTTACCCTGAGATCGAGGTCAGGCTGAGCTACATGGTATGTTCAAGGCCAGCTTGAACTACAGAAACCCTGTCTCAACAAAAGCAAAACACACATATTTTTCTTGTAACTTATTGTAACATTTGAAGTTTTGCTCCATTTCTCCTTTCAGCATTCCATTTCCCCACAAATAGCAAATTGTTACACTGTTGAATTATCCTTCTCCCCCTTGATCTGAGGTGTCATTTTAATGCCAAGTACACACAAGAAGCAGCTGGTGTCAGCTCACCCACCCTGTTAGCTTTCCATTATGGGGACAAAACACTGGAGAGTCAACTAAGAAGGAGGAAAAAGATTAATTCTAGCTCACTCTCAGAAGTTTCAGTCCCCCTTGGGCTCAATGCATTGTTTTGAAACCTGGAGTGAGGCAGGACATCATGGGAGTGTGAGGTGGGGCACAGCGGCTCACCTCACGGTGGCCTGGAAGCAGA